CCCCAAAACCCCAAAACCCCAAAACCCCAAAACCCCAAACCTTGATTTTTAATGAAAAGTATAATTTGCAACTATTATTAAAATGGAGAGAATTTCATACACTCAAGAGCTTGTCACAAAGTTCAGCCATTGCTCCACTATTCTTCAGTACTACGGGACCTTCACTGAAGCCATGCGAGTAATCCCGTTCCTATGTAAAGGGAGTCTAGCCATGGTCAGAGTCTACTATGAAGCCCTCAAGAACAGACTCAACACAAAGAAAAGTATTCTCAGGCAGAAAGGCAGCTTCACAAAGGAATTAGTAAAGTTCCTCCTAGAAAGCAAGAGGTACTTGTGCTACCAGATGGAAATCAAGCTGGAGAAGCCCAAAGAAGTCACTTTGTTTAAGAAGTTTATCAGCAAAATAGAAAAGCCTGAAAATGCTCAGTTCAGGCTGATAAATGTTATGTTTACAGAATCAGTAGTCGATGTTGAAATGTATAACTCTATTTACTGGAGACTTGTGAATCTGAATATAGACCCATCAGGATTGCAGTTTAACTTTCCTGAATATTTAAGTTATGGTCTTAAGACCAAAAAGAAAGGAGTAAAGTTTGAGTACACTAAATAAGATTTACCATGATCACATACCTACTTATTGATCTCTTTTTAAAAGGATTCATTCTGCGCAGCTTGATATTTGATATCAGAATTTGCAGAACCTATTGCGTTTAAGTATTCCTATCTCAGAGTTAAAACTCGCTATCAAGATCATACAGGAAGGAAAACCAAAATTGCTTGATTTTGAGAATATACATATTTATCCCAACAATATTTTAGAAGAGGAAGAAGATCTTTTCTTTGAGAATCTAAGAAAGTCTTGTTCTCATGTCACAAAGGTCATCCTTTTGCCTATAATTGAAGGTGTTGAAGACCCTAGGTAAGCAGTAGCTCATGAGTTTGTAAAATATGTAGCATCTTCAGAAATTAGCTTAAAATTTCATACTAAAGTTTTTTGTATTTCTTCCTTTGAGATTTTGACTCATCCAATTTATTGATATAGCTCTCTGAATTGGTATACTTTAGAAGATGTACAAGAGGTTTTCCCAAATGTAAAGGATATCGAATATGATTTCAAATATTTACCTTGGTCAGTGCTCATTAAATCTAAAACTTTCAATACAGTAAGTTGTTAAATGCTTTGTATTTGATATTCAATGTTTGATTATTTTGAAATTTTCCTTCATTTAATCTTTGTCATAACCATAAAAATAGTCAAAATGGGTAAAATATTACCCTCCTCCTTCTTTGTTTTGCTCTTCGTTGCTTCAGAATGCCTGTAGTTACTCAAGCATCAACTCAGTCCTAAAGAATGGCTACTTTGTAATAAAAGATGTGGATTTCTTTCTTTACAACCCAGCCACAGAGGAATACTCAAGCTTCCATTGTACTAAATACTTTCAGGCAATCAATATCAAGACTTATGATTCAGAGAGTATGGAGATAGAGAAATTTAAGAAGGAAAAAGCTCAAATTATCTCTCTAAGCAGTTGGCCTAACATCAGATTCACTGAGTAAGTAACAGATTTTAGCCGGGATGGTAACTTGTTTAGAGTCAAATATTTGGAAGGAACTAAATTTGAACATGTATCCAAAGTTAATACACTTAACTGCCAACAGTTTGAACAAGCGAGAGAAGAGTTTACAGAAGAGCATAAAGAGTACACTGAATCGAATGAACCAATTATGTTCTTCAAAGAGAAAACATTTGATAAGGTTGTTGGGTTAGATTTCCTGATGAAATATCAACCTAGGACTTGCAGAGAAGTATGCATCAAGCTAGAAAATGATTCAAACTTGTCTGAAAATGTAGAAAATTTAAAGATTTTATCATCAATAAGAGTAGTTTCAAAGCTTTCTCTTGAAGTAGAGCTTACACCAGAAAATTGTGAGCTTATTATAAAAGCTCTTAATCATAAGATTCCATACATAACTATCATAGTTTCAAAGCTGACTCTGAAAAAGATTCCAAAGGATATTCGTCAAAAGCTTGTCACTTGTCTAGTTTGCCACAAGTCTCTAAGGAATCTTAGTTTTAAGTTCAAAGAGAGTAATGAGATCCAGAAATATCACAAGTAAGCTCTTCAAGCTGATATCTATTTTAGGTCAAATTCAGATGAAGGAAAATTGAAGTTCAAGAAGTTTCTAACGAAAATGCTTCTTACTTTTAGTCACTATGTGGAAAAGATTAGCCTCTGGAAGGAGGTTGAATTAATTGATTATTAGAATTAACCAAATGATATATCCGATTCAATATTTGTTCAGCTTACCGGGGTTTTGGGGTTTTGGGGTTTTGGGGTTTTGGGG